TGTTACCTTCCCACCAAAGGTGGTTCCTATTTTTCTACTTGCATTTTTCGAACTGCTAAGTTGGCAGAAGCTGGGACAAGTCACGGGAGCTCACTCCATTACGTGGCGCTCGGGATTCGAACCGCCAACGTTCCAACCTTTCTGATCGACAAGCTCAATGTCCCTTTAGAACGGGACAATCCTCTGCTTTTGCTTAGTCTTGTCTTGCTGCAAGTAGGACCCCCCCAAAATTTCCTATTTCTCTCCTCGGTTCACAAGGATTGTTCATTCCAGGCCTGAGGCCAAGACAAAGGAATCCTGGTTTGAACAGCCGCAATATTTAATAATAAAATAAAAAAAACAGAAGGCAGCAGCCCCCAACCTTTTGGGCACGTGGGACTGGTTTTCACAGTTACGACCTTGGCAACGTTCCCCAAATTCAGATGCTTGGCAACTGGTTCGCATTAATGACCGTCGCTGTGTCCCAAGGTCACACAATCCCTTTTCTCGACCTTCTGGCAAGCAATGTAGATGGGGAAACCAGATTCGCTTAACAACTAAGGCAAGAGAGGTGGTAATAGGGGGCAAAACTCACTTAACAAATGTCTCACTTAGCAACCTAAGTTGTGGTCGTAAGTCAAGGACTACCTCTAATTATTAGTATCCTTCTCGTCTTCTCTACTACCTCTTCCGGGGCAAAACTCACTTCATGTCTCATTTAGCAACATAAGTTGTGGTCGTCAGTCAAGGATTATCTCTATTCGTATCCTTCTCGTCTTCTCTACTACCTGTTCTGACCAAGGCTTCCCCAAAAAACACGAAGCAGATTCCTGGTCCTAGCAAAACCCCTTTTATTCAACGAATGTGAATTCCTCTCATTCCCCTTCAGCAAAGGCCTGCCAAACAGTCTTTCAAAGGAATATTTATGACCACAGACCTTATCTAGCTTGGAAAGCTGCCATGTGACTATTTTCCAAATGAGATGCTGTACAAGAAAGACTGAGCAGAGAGTCTCTGAGATTCACGGACAGATCTTCCCACTCCTGAAACAAATCTAACGACTGACGAACGAATTGTTTCCTGCAAAAGCCCCCTCCCCTTTCGCTCCTCTTTCATTTCCTATGGGAGGGGCCATTCACCGTCCACCTGTGGCTTTACTCCCAAGTCAACCTTGATTTCTTATCTGTTTCCTGCTCCTGGCAACTCTGCGCATGCGCACACTGGAAACAGGCTCCAGCTGTTCCTCTGCCTCACTGCTGTCTAGCTCCGAAGGCAGCTGAGAACTGCCAGACGGCCTTGGGCCCATCTCTGCCTCCGATGCAGAGCCCTCGTCCGACCCTTCCCCAGTCTCCAGGACTGGCCCATGTTCCTCCCCAAACTCCTTACTTTCCGACTCTGCTGGCCACTGGCCGCTGATGGGCCACCCTACCTCCTCTGGGGCAAAACTCACTTTATGTCTCACTTAGAACATAAATCGTGGCTGTAAATCGAGGACTACCTGTATTACTTGCATCCTTCCCATCTTGTCTACTACTACCTCCTCTTATAGATGTCATATGATGATTATTAATATCCGGTTGCTTTGCATGGATATACTGAGAATTTCTTCACCGGGGACAAAATTCCGTGTGTGCCTAATCATGTTT